TCGCATCATCCAGGAGCACACAATTCCGGGTTAGGATGGATTCTTAGAACTAGTTCAGGTTCCTTCTTAGACGCAGGAATGGGAAAATTTCAAGGCAGATGTAAATCTGAGGAAGCAGAATGTTCAGCATTACTGTGGGCTATGCAAAGTTCATGGGCACTTGGATATCGTCGGATAATTTTTGAAGGAGATAATCTTAACATAAATCGTATCATCAACAACAAGACAGCCAATCTCAAGCTCCAACATTATTTAACTGCAATCAATAGTTGGAAAGCGATGTTCACGGTGGCCAAATTCTCATATCGTAATCGATCATCAAACGCTTGTGCCGATCATTTAGCTCGAAAAGCGATAACATCTGAAACTCCTTGGTCCATTTTTCATGTTTGTCCTTCCTTTTTGCAATACCTTGTAACAAACGATTGTAATATTCTTCCATAATAATCTTTTAGACGGCAAAAAAAAAAAGACAAATAAGTATATAGATTTTGATATAATATCATTGTAATAATATAAAACTTTATAATGTTAATTATTTATTTCTTAAAGAAAAATAAAGATAAAGTTTTTAAAATAAAAAACTAAAAAAGATAAAATCAAAATACAAAATCAATAAATTTACTATAAAAAATATATTTTATTTAAAAAATTAGAAGAATTATATTTGCTATCATGTATTTTATCATTTGTTATAAAAAAAAAATCCAACAACAAAAATTCAAAGGTATAAACGTGAATGAAAACCCAAATTGTCTAAATTGACTATATTGATAGAAAAATTAAGCTTAAAAATTATTTTTAAGATTGATTTTAACAATTAGATGCAATCTAAAATTATATAGGATTTGAATTTTTTTTTTATAATTATCTCATCAATTAAAAAGGAGTTTATAAGGTTTACAGATAATATGCATCAATTTCAAATTTTCTTAATTATGAATCATAAAACATAATTTATGATTAACTAAACAAGGTTTTTATTTTACAAACTAATTATATATATCAAAATTATACAGATTTTCAATTTTAAAGTAAATATTATATTATTACTTGTGTATAGGTGTAATCTAATTATATATATATATATGTATATATATCTAAATATATTTATTTGAAAACGAAGTTTTTTTATTTCCGACGAAAACGAAGTTCTTAAAAACATGTATACATACCCATGGTTATTGCGTATTACGATATCACTTTTTTAAAAAAGAAAATATTTAAATTCTTAATATGATGATTAATAATCTAAAAATTAAAAAACCTTACCTGATACGGCCAAAACATTGTTGTTGGACACCAAAATCGCTAATACTACTGCAAGAAAAAAAGCCACAAAAGTATTTGTAGTATCCATTATATGTTCTTTAGTTTAGTTCTATTGAGAAGAAAATATGTTCAATAATGTTTTAGCTCTACATAAAAAAACTCTATTTATATGACTTCTTACTGGGGTAATCTTATCCAATCTTTTACTTTTTTGTTGACCGTAAAAGAAACTTCCATATTTGCTGATAATAAATATTTTTTAAGAAAAAAATACCAACATATATTTTTATTAATTTTATCTACATGTATAGCATGATACAGTCAAAGATTTTGTTTTGTTACCAACTTACTCCATAAAATAAAAATCTCGGTCTCAATGTAATAAGATACTAGATTCTATCATGTGCATCCGCACGGAATCTATTTTTAATTTATCAAAAATTTTAATATAATTTTTTTTTTGTTTTTTATATATAATTTTCTAATAAGTGATAAATATTTTTTCTGTTTATATATATTTTTCTATTAATTTATTATTTCTAGTATATATATGACTGTGATTAGAGAAACATTATTCTAATCCGTCCGTTTATATTAATCTAATACGTACAATGATTATAAAAATGTTATTATAACATGTTCATTTATATTAATTCGAAAAGGATCACAGTTATTAAAACATTTTATTTGTATATTTTATATATTTTTTAAGTTTGAATATTAAAAATCTTAGACTTATTTAATAAAAATATACAGTAATATATTGTTTTTATCTTTGTCATTGAAATATTACTTAAATTTGATTATGTAAATTAAATGTAAATTGATATCAGATTTATTATTTCTGTAAAAATTTAATAATAACTTATTTCATAATTTTGATAAATAATATAACCTAAATTTAAGAAAATCGATAACAAATCTAAATTCAAATTTAAATTTTCGAATTTATTTTAAAATATAAATTAAAATATATTATTTTATTAATATTACATTAAATTGACTTGTTTGGTAACATAAATAGGAGTTATCCAAAAAACAAAATAGTAGAAAACTAATTAAAACCTGTTTAAACATAAAATACCCTTCTCTTTTAATAGTATAGATTTGTTTTAGATTTTTTTTATATCATTTATACGTTTTGAAATAACTCAAAGTTGCCAAAAGAAAAATCATGTATGCTCAAAGTTGCCAAAAGAAAAATCACGTATGTTCTATAGGGCTGGAATAGAGCCGGATATCAGAACTTTTCAAGGTATTTGGATCCGGATTCGCCGAATAATCAATTTTACCTTCGGATCTGAATCCAAAAAATCCGGTTATCCGGAGACTGGATATCCGGTTTAAACGAATATTTACGGATATCCGATCGGATATATGGTTTGTTGATTTTTAAAAAAAAATCTTCAATTTTTAAAATTATAATGAGATAACATATATAATTAAAATGTATCATCGTACCAAAAATTAAAAAACATTCAAGTAGCATTCAAATAACACAAAGTTTAAAAATTTACATAGCAAAAAAGAAAATAGTGATAGAGAAGTTAATTTATCTTCATATCAATGTGTTATCTATTTTCATGTTCTTCTCTCACAATCTGAAATAGAAAATTATCATGCAATATGAATTTCAATCATATGTAAAGGAGTAAAACCAAAAGTAATTTTTGAACATAATTAAAACAAAAAAAAATGTTAATTTGAAAACAGACTTTTAAAGTTAATTTTTTAAAATGAATAAATATTATTAAAATAAATAAATACTTAATAAACGGATAATGGATAACGGATATCCGATTTCAAAATTTTCTATTATCCGGATCTGTATCCGAAATAACCGAATACTTATTTTCACTATCCGCATTCGAATCCGAACTACACGGATATTCAGTTTTTACGGATCGGATAGGACCGGATACCGAATCGGAAACCGGATACTGGATAATAATTCCAGCCCTAATGCTCTATGTGTCAAAGAGAAATTTCCAATATTTTTAGAATTAGAAAAAATCTTATAATATGTACCATTCCAACATATGTCAAGATTTGATTGCAAAAGTCAATATTGGAAATATTTCTGGCTAAACATTAGCCATTCGGTAACTAAAATCTCTGTATTAATAAAATAACAAGATTTTATCCCGTGTATTCGCACAGAAATTTTATCAAATTTTGTAATGTAATTTATGATTTTTTTGTAGATATAATTTTTTAATAAGTGATAAAGATTCAATTTTGTTTATATATATAATTTATATTTAAATTTTTCTGTTAGTATTATTATGACCGCGAACATAAAAACATAATTGTAACCTGATCATTCTAATAATCGAAAAAGACAGTTATTATAAAAACATAATTCTAATTCATTCATTTTATTAATCCAAAAAAATTGTGGTTATAAAAACATAATTATAACCCATCTGTTCATATTACTATATAATAACATATTTACTAATTTTAAAATATTTTTAGTTTAATATCTTGCATGTTTGATAATTTAACCCACATAAAACCATAATTATAAAAAAAAAACCTAACATGTCCCATCAAATTACCATGTAATATAAATATTTATTAATTTTTAATATGTAAATTTTTGACTGATTGATTATGATTAAAAAAAACAATAACATATACGTTAATCATATGTTTATTATAAAAATATTATTTAAATTCCAAATATTAAATTAAATCTAAATTATATTTAATAAGTCTAAAGTAATTTAACTTAATATCTAACTTTTTAGATTTAAACTTAATTGCAAATTTTTTAAATATTTTAAATTTTTAATTAAATATAATTTATTTTAAGAAAATCTTTAATTATCTAAATTAATATCTAATTTTTGGAATTATTTTTTTATATATACAAAAATAATTTTTTAAATAATATCACAATAAAATAGGATAATCTTAAAACAGTTTTTAAATTATTGTTTTTTTTTAATTAAGAAATGTTTGGATGCAAACACTAAAAGTGTTTCTGTTTTAATATAATAGATATATAAATATCACACAACCGATATTTACTTGTATATATATCAGCAAATAGGACTTTGAGCTAGTTTTGTTATGTGATTTATTTATTAGTAGTTTTTAAATATGAAAGTGATATAATGTTAATATATACTTATATACATACTAACATGGATTAGAATATATATATATATATATATATATATCCATCAAATAAGAATTTAAATATAAATATTTTATTAGAGATCAAACTATCATTTTTAGTTAATTAATTATATAATATGTGTTAATAATGATATATATATATAGGATTTTCAAAGTGTAAAAATATGTTTACTTAATCTATTTTGCAATTTAATTATATTTTTCGGCCAACTTTAAAAAATAAAATTTAAATTTTGAAAACAAATTTCAGTTTTTTTGATAAAATTAATTGAATTAATTTTTGAAAATGATACTAATTAATTATGAAAATACAAATAAAAAATATTGCAAAAGTTTAAATAGATTTTTTAATAAAATAGATTAATTATTATTTAAAATAAAATAATATATTTTAATATTTTAGAGAATGAGTTTGAATCGGTTTATCCGGTTTATTTGGTTCCCAGTCTGCGCAAAATCTCGCCGAAATAAACCGAACAAAGATTTGGTTTAGTTCATTCGAAATTCGATCTGTTTGATTTTGGTTTAGAGGAAGAATTAATTCGGTTATTTGGTTCGGTTGAAAATACTCCACTGTACTCATTTTTTCTGGATCCTACCTATCACTCTTCTTCTGCTTCGACGGAAAAGGAAAAAAAAAACCTTAAAAATCCTCTGAATCGACATTTCTTGCTTCAGATTATTTTCTCCTGCGATCGGATCCTCCATTTTAAGGTTTATTTTTGCTTTACACTGTTCTGGGATTTTCTGATTTCGCTTTTAATTTCCGAATCTACACTCGCTTGAAATTGGGTTTTTGATTTTCCTTAAAAAAAAAAATCTCCGAAATCATTTATATGATGAAATCGTAGCCAAAGTGTGTTTCTTGACACTGCAATAAACTTATGAATCTTGTTCTTACTTAAAGTTCATCACTTTGCAGGTCTCTTTGCTTGTTTTTGTTTTGCTCTTTCTCTTTTAGGAAAAAAAAATTTGATTAACCTTAGAGATCAGTGTTGGTTCTTCTAGTGTTCGCTCCCAAAGAATGAAAATTTTGAGTAGCTTGATTGTTTTTTTTCATTAATAGTCTGAGAGATATGTTTTGATCCACAGGGAACTGAAGAAGCAACAGGTTGTTTGCCAAAAACACAAAGCAAAGCAGGCACTATCTAGATGACCCTGTAACGATGGCTTCAACGAATGTCCCTGATGAGAACGAGTCCATTGGACATACTTCTGTGACCTTACCTGAGATTCTGACTTCTTCTGACTTCCAAGAGAATCTTGCAGCCTTGGGAGATCAGGTTTATGACATGGAGATGCCTCAGGCTCCTGATGAAGCTGCCTTCACCGAGTTACCTTTGAATGTAGAGGAAGTTTTGGTTAGAGAAGAAAGTAGTAGAACAAGTCATGATGATGATGCTACTTTTCACCCTGTCTCTGGATTAGACATTCAAGGTTCTGCTAGATCAGATCAGGTTACTTGCTGCTGCCTCTTTTAAAAGACTGTTTATTTTTCTTTGTTGGCTTAAAGTTTCAGTTTCGTTGATCTCATGTTTTGCTTATGCATTTGATTTTTTTTTTTTTCCTTTTACAGGGTGCTCAAGGTACACGTTCTACGCAAGCAGCTTCTTCAGGTATAGTGATCGCCATGCTTTAGTTAGAGACTAGAATTGGTTTTTTACTCGAATTTTAAGACTTTGTTGCGTTTTGACGGTTGTGTAGTTAACCAATCAGAGGTTGTTCCTCCTAACATCTCATCTGGCGGATCAACAGTCAATGATCAAATGGGACAGTCTCTTCAGATGCATATGTTCAGCAACCCATATGATTACGAGCTGGAGAGGCTGCGCAGAGAAGAAGAGAGCTTAAATAAGAACTTTGAAGAAACGGTTAGTTCCTCCAACTTCTCTGCAATTCTATCTATATTCAGTTTTCTTTTCTCTATGCTCATTGTCTCGTTTTTTCTTTTGTAAGCAGACGTCAGCTCTGATGGCTGAGCTCGAGAAAGAGATGGCTGAACTAAGGAGCAAGTACGAGAAGGAATCTCAAGAGTTAGATGCTGCTTATAACGCCAAAGTGATGGAGGCAGAAGCCAATAAGAGTTTAGTTGAAATGAGCAGTCTATTGGGGAATGCTTTCATGTCTAAATGTACAGAAAGGAGTGAATCCATTGATCTTGGAGCTTTAAGAGGTAAAGGTTAAAAGTGAAAGCAAAAAACGAATTTGGAATAAAGCAAAATGATCTTAAACGAACACTCTCTTCTTTCCTCTTTTAGCAGCTATAGTCTCTCAATATTCAGTTCAGGAGCAGCAAGCAGTGCAAACAAACACAGATATGAATTCAACGTCTCTTCCTGGACCTTCAGTCACATCTGAACCAACACGGATATCTCAGGAAGCAGCAGTGCAAGCAAACACAGATATGAATCCAACTTCTTCTCCTCAACCTTCAGTCATTGCTGCAGAAACTCCAATCTCAGACCCGTCAGGTCCACTTTCTCATTTCCCGCCCTGCACCACATCTCAACCAACACCGAGGTCTCAGGCTCAGCAAGCGCATATTTATCCAACCACTCCTCCTAGGCCTTCAGTCACAGCTGCAGAGAATCCAATCTCAAACCTGTCAGGTCCACTTTCTCATTTACCGCTCTGCACCACGCCTCATTTAACACTGATATCTCAACAAGCAGCAGTACAAGTTAACACACATGTGAATTCAACCACTCCTCCTTCTCGGCCTTCAGTCACAGCTGCAGAGACTCCAATCCCAAACCCATCAGATCCACTTTCTCATTTATCGCCCTGCACCACTTCTGAACCAACACTGATATCTCAGGAAGGAGCAGTACAAGCTAAGACACTTATGAATCCAACGTCTCCTCCTGGACCTTCAGTCTCATCAGCAGAAACTCCAGTCTCAAACCAGTCAGGTCCACTTTCTCATTCACTAAGCTGCACCACAACTCAACCAACACCAACATCTCAGCAAGCAGCAGTACAACCTCCTCCTCAACCTTCAGTCACAGCAGAAGAAACTCCAATCCCAAACCTATCAGGTCCTCTTTCTCATTTCCCAAGCTGCTCCACGTCTCAATCAACACCGGTATCTCAGCAAGGAGTACAAACAAACACACATATGAATACAACTGCTCCTCCTCAACCTTCAGTCACTGCTGCAGAAACTCCAATCTCAGACCCGTCAGGTCCTCTTTCGCCTTTCCCAAGCTGCTCCACGACTCAACCAACACCGATATCTCAGCAAGCAGCAGTACAAGCAAACACGCATATGAATCCAACCTCTCCTCCTCAACCTTCAGTCACAGCTGCAGAGGTTCCAATGCCAAATCTGTCAGGTCCACTTTCTCCTTCCCCGAGCTGCACCACGTCTCAACCAACACCGGTATCTCAGCAAGAAGTACAAACAGACAAACATATGAATACAACTTCTCCTCCTCTACCTTCTGTCACAGCAGCAGAACCTCCGATCCCAAACCTGTCATGTCCACTTTCTCATTCAACACGCTGCACCACATCTCAACCAACACCGACATCTCAACAAGCAGCAGTACAACCTCCTCCTCAACCTTCAGTCACAGCTGCAGAGAGTCCAATCCCAAACCTGTCAGGTCCACTTTCTCATTCACCACGCAGCACAACGTCTCAACCAACACCAACATCTCAGCAAGAAGTACAAGCAAACACACCTAAGATTACAACTTCTCCTCCTCGACCTTCAGCCACAGCAGCAGAAACTCCAACCCCAAATCAGTCAGGTCCTCTTTCGCATCTCCCAGGCCGCACCAAGACTCGACCAACACCAACATCTCAGCAAGCAGCAAAAGCAAACACTAAAACGCATGTGAGTTCAACCGCTCCTCCTCCACCTTCAGCTACAGAAGCAGAAACTCCAAACCCAAATCAGTCAGGTCCTCTTTCGCATCTCCCAAGCCGCACCAAGACTCAACCAAGACCGAAACCTCAGCAAGCAGCAGCACAATCAAACAAACATTTGAACTCAACGGCACGTTCTGGACCCCAAGTCACATCGAAAGCTCTTTCTTTGCATTCACCGAGCTCTAACACGGCTCAGCCAAGACCACCGCCTGTAATCTCCAACATTACTCCAACTTCTCCACCTGTGCACGGTGTAGTGCGTGCCCCGGCGCCTCATCTAAAGCCATTTCGACCATCTAACACTCCAAACTCTGCTCCTGCTTTAACAACACACCCAAGTAGGTTGGTTCAAGAAAAGGGACAGCAACAAGGGAAGTCAAAAGGTGGCTTGGTCTATCCTTCAGATGACGACGACTGACAAATCACTGGAGAATCAGTATATAATTATATATGATATGTTTTTTTTTTGTAGATTCTCTTAAGTTATTATGGCCTTTAAAACTTTTTGTTATGGAATTTATATATAAAAAACAAGAAAGGTGAAAAGAATCACAAGTAGTTAGTATGATTTTATGATTTCACCTCACAGTATCCATTTTTCAGTTAACTTAAACTGGTTTTTCAAATAAGACATGCGAATTTTCAAATTCTTTTTTCGATCAGGATCTGGAACCATACTCTGCTACATTAACTATTAATATTTATGTAACGAATTTCAATGGAAAGTTGATATTAATATAACCCCACGTGGCACGTGACATCCCCAGAATCTCATAATTGAACTGTTTTTAAAAACCCCCTCGATATATCAGTTCAGTGAGCAGTAGGCCTAGTGAGCAGTCTCACCTCAAACACAAACGCAAACGCAAACGTTATCGCATGAGCTTCTCTGTTTTGTCGCGTTTCACTTTCTCAAAGGGATATTTGCAGTTTCCCCTTCACTCTGACACTCTCTTCGTCGTCTTCGAGGAAGAGCTTTACTGTAAGCTCAACTGCTAACGCAATTTTGCTTCTTTCCGCGTTTGCGTTTTAGCTTGAAATCTTCGTCTCTGTTAAGCTGGAACTTTACGTAGACGAGAAAGCTTAAAATCCTTGACATCAACATTGTTGCTTCTGGAGAGATAGTTTCCTCCTGCAGACGATTCTCCATTTTAAGGTTCTGAGTTTTTTATTTTTCGCATTAAATGTTCAAAAGTTGACGTATTGAGTTAAAAAAAACAAACATTATTTTCGCTATTTTCTCTTCATGAATCGAAAAATCATGACATGGGTTTCTGTTGAATTCCCCTAAAAAGCTTCACTTTTCCATTAAAAGAGCTTGGATTAGGTCAATGGCGGAAAACTGGTCCCATATCGAAAACCGGTTTACTTAAACCGGTTACCGACAACCGACACCGGAAATCGTGGGGTCACGACAATTCGCTTCGACCAACGTTTTGCCTTTTCCTTAAAAGCAAATCCTTTTCTTCATCTCTTTTTGGATATTTCTAATTTGGATATATTCAGAAAGAGATATATCTAATTTGGTTTGTCCAAACCCTAAATCTCGGATTTTGGTTTGATTTTATTACATCCTGTTTCTTAGATTAACTCATTGAAGCTTATTCATATTAGCATATGGTTTGTTTGATACAATCTAACAACATTTATGAACTTTTGGGAAATTTTTTATTTATGATATGAAGATTTTGCCATTAGTAAAGTTAACACTTGAAAAATAGTTTGTTTTGATATAAAATTGGTTTTACTTTCAATGATTCTCCATCTTTGATACTGTAATGGTTGAAGGGTCACTCTCAGATTTGCAATTCCGTTTCTTTCTAAAGGTGGTTGGTCCGTTTTCATTTCATTAATATTTGTGTTTCGCTCTTTTGACTAATGCTAATCAATCATTTCTTTAATCACATTAAATGAATAATATTTTACTAATTCCCTATCCCTCAAGATGCTCCACTTCTTTCTTCTTATATCTTTTGTCTGCAACTTTTTTTTCTTGACACTACAATTCACTAAAGAATCTTCCTCTTACTCCAAAGCTCACACAATTTGCAGGGTAATGTATCCCATTTTGGCCCTCTTGTTCTGTTTTGTTATGCTTTGCTCTATTAGCAAAATTTTGATGAATCTCTCATTGGAGCTTTCTCAGGGAATTAGTGTCGGTTCTTCTGTTTTTGTGTCTTTATCTAAAAACATAACCAACTAACTATAGAGGGAACTAGAAATTTGCAGAATTTAGATGACTGGCAATGGATCTTAAATGATTGATGTGACCGGTATGAGTTTTACTACTTTTATTGATTGGGGTTACTTGTATCCTCTTCTAGCTTTGGAACCTTAGACGTGGAGTCTCTTGATTGTTGTCTGACCAGGTCATAGAATGTTGTTTTTTTGTTGGATTATCTTGGAGCTTAGTTCCCAGTGGGTGCAACAGAGTTAGAATCTTTTGGATGTCTGTTCACCAACCATTCATTCACATTCCACTGTATATTTACCTTAATTTCTATAAAAATTCACCACTCCTTGCAATCTGGTTCTTAATCAACATTCTCTAATCTAACGTTTATTTTTTTCAGGTTGATTCTATATTACCTCTCTATTATTCTTGTTGTGGATTGTTGTGTACTTGGGAGTTGAGCTTACTTTGAGTAGAAGCAATAAATCCGACATGAAGGTCTTCTTTCTAACAATCTTCTGTCTTTATGAATCTCCACTCGCTCTTTTTGTTGGCTATCAAAGAACTAAGCAATTTAGTTATTTCCTCCTTCTGCAGCAAATATAAATGAAGATGAGAGTGGAAACCGCGCTTGTGATTCTCTTGGGCCTCATATCAGTTCAGCAATGCTATGGAGGTCTAGTATATTAGTTTATACTCCTTCCATATTTTTTATGCTTGTGAGATTCAGAGATAAGCAAGAAACATATGTAAAAATGGTGTGAGTTTCAGTTAAATAGATGAAGTTTCTGTTTCCAGGCGCAAGCAACTGGACTTGCACGTGCTTCTCTTCGGGAAATCAAAGTGAGATCCTGGAATCTAACTGTACCACATCATGTAATTGCAGACCAGGTTGGCTTTCTTGAATTAGTTTTCTCTTTACCAAGATTCTGTAGAAAACTAACTTTATGACTCTTCCTTACAATAGCAGATAGAGACCAATGGTTATGCTTGTGTCCGGCAAATGGATTTCCAATGATAGCCATTGGCGGTTCAAATTCTTCATGCTTCACTTCTTGCAACTGCTCTGCTGGTCCTTTTCTACTTTATCTATCGTTCTATGGCAAAGCTTAGTCGATTATATCACTTGTTTATACTGCTTAATTGTTTCCAGGACCTGTAGGCGAGACCAAATCTCCAAAGAAGAAATCTTTATCTAGGAAACTCGTTCTTGCTTTACTAGTCCTCTGCGTTGTACTCACTTCAATAGCATTTCTTGCATCTATGATTTGCTACATTTGTCGAAGAAGCAAATTTTCTGGACAAACCACTTCAGTCTCTTCAGATAGAGAATCAAGCTGGCATAGCTCTGCTAACTTAATAACCCGTAAAAGCTCGGTTTCACAACCCAAAATTAGCATCAGCTCCTCCGTGACAGGTGAACCATTTTTGCCTCCCTCTCTTAGTTTAAACAGAAGATGAAAACATTAATTTGTTTTTGTTTTTTCTTTTAGGATGTTTCTTTCAGAATGCTTCTTTGTTTTGTTTGAGCAAAACGGAAACAATCCATGGAGCGATTTTTCAGTTCTCATATGCAGAGTTAGAGCAAGCAACCAATAAATTCTCCAGCAACAGCGTCATAGGACACGGAGGAAGTAGCTGTGTTTACCGTGGACAGCTCAAAGACGGTAAAACCGCTGCGATCAAACGTCTAAATGCACCTAAAGGAAATGAGACAGACACTCTATTCTCAACAGAAGTATTAAACCTCCTCTGCTCCTCCTGCTTCTTATTTAGAAGGTTTCATATTTGATCCAGATAATGAAATTGTGTGTATGTTTTCGTAGGTTGAGTTATTATCAAGACTGCATCATTACCATGTGGTTCCGTTAATTGGATATTGTTCGGAGTTTCATGGCAAACACGCAGAGAGGCTTCTTGTTTTTGAGTACATGTCTTATGGAAGTCTGAGAGATTGCTTAGATGGAAAGTTGGGAGAGAAAATGACATGGAACATCAGAATCTCTCTCGCTCTTGGAGCTGCAAGAGGGCTTGAGTATCTTCACGAAGCTGCTGCACCAAGAATCTTACACCGAGATGTTAAATCCACAAATATTCTCCTTGATGAGAATTGGCATGCAAAAGTAAGTAACACAAACCTTCCTCCAAATATTAGCTTCAATGAGCCCAATTTTGAAGGCATAAAGTTGTTATACAGATAACAGATCTTGGGATGGCTAAGTGTTTGAGCAGTGACGGTTTAGAAAGCGGTTCAAGCTCTCCAACGATGGGACTGCAAGGAACATTTGGCTACTTTGCACCTGAATACGCAATTGCAGGATGTGCTTCACCTATGTCAGATGTTTTTAGCTTCGGTGTTGTTCTTCTCGAGCTTATAACAGGAAGAAAACCGATACAGAAACCGAGCAACAACAAAGGAGAAGAAAGTCTCGTTATATGGGTTAGTTAAAAGGAAAAGTTTATGATTCTTTTACTCTTTAACCAACAAAGTTTAAAGTCTCTGATATATGGTTGGTTGTTGTTTTAGGCTATGCCGCGTTTACAAGATAGTAAGCGGGTGATTGAAGAACTTCCTGATCCGAGGCTTAAAGGGAAGTTTGCTGAAGAAGAGATGCAGATAATGGCGTATCTTGCTAAAGAGTGTTTGCTTTTGGAACCAGAAGCTAGACCAACAATGAGAGAAGTTGTTCAGATCCTCTCAACCATCACACCAGACACATCTAAACGTAGAAGCTTCCCCATTAATCATCTTTTTCAGGTAATGTTTCTAATCAAACTTTTTGTAGCTAAAAGCAAACACAAGCGCATAATTTGAATGTTTGAAACAATGGAAACACGGTCTTGGCAGAGTAATGAGAAGAAGAAGGAAAGCAAAGTAGGATGGTCAAGAGGTGGGAGCAGGAGTGGACAGGAAGAGGAATCAGTGGATCTAACTGAGCCACGGTTCGAGTCCTTCTGCTTGCCGAATGTGAAGCCGGTCTTGCTTGAACCATCTGCACATATTTAAAACTTAAAAGTAGTTAGGAAAGCACAGAACTATACAAAAACTGAGCCATCTCGCATGTGTGTAGATAAACGCTCACTCTGGCGAGGGTGGGGAGCATTGAGGCTTGAGAGTTTTCTATAAGTAAAGTGAGTGTCCTGATTTGTTCTAAACGAGATGAATTTTAATTTATAATCTAATCAAATATTTTAAAATTACAGAGTAGTTTAGTGATTAGTGAACGGATTAGTGCATGAAAATGGGTTTGTTTACTCTATGTGATCTATGCCTTTGGATTGAACATTGATTGAGCATGCTAGCATCATTAGTCATATCAAGTCTTCAACATGCCCATATTTTTTCATATATAATATTTTCATAAATCCTGTTTAGTTCTCAATTGCTTTGGAATTTGTCAACTACAACAATCAATGCTTAGTTTAGAGAGTATCATGCATTGATCATTTCTAGTTCAAGCACTATTCTCTAGCCATAAGTGATTAGGTGGTTTATACATTTACCATATGTTTCTCCTCAAAAGTTAAACCAATTATTAAATACTATAAAAGGGTTTTAATTGGTCTTTAATATGTAACAATGTATTTGAGTTTTTATGGTCAATTTCAAAAACTTATATCTCATTGATGCGTGCTCGTGTCAACTACGTGAGGGAACAAGTTTTACTCTTAACAAAACAAATGAAAGCCGCAAGTGCACATCTAATCAGTTGTAGTATTTAGGGATCGAATCCACAGAGATTTGTGTGCCTGGTATTCTTCTACGGTTTTTAACTTTATGTCTAGACTAAATTGGTTTTAAAGGTTGGTTGTTTTTCTCGAATTAAACTAAGGCAAAAGAAATCGAATGAAAGGCAATAGAACAAGTAAAATATCGAATGAAAGACTAATAAGGCAAGTAAATATCGAATGAAAGGTAAATAAAGCAAGTAAATAACGAACTAAGGAAATTGAAATGCAGGTCTAAGAAAAGCAAGTAAAAATCGATGGAATTGTAAACTATGGCTAAAAACGCTGAACTTTTGGGAACTCTAAGGGATCATAATCGGTTTTAACACTAAAGTAGATAGATTGGGATTGACGGATAACAATATATGGGTTCTAGAGCTAGAGTACGGCGGTATGACTACGTCACTGTCGTGATCATAACCAATTGTTTCTCGCAACCCTGACCAGTAGGTTTCCACTCTGGCCCTGGAAGGGAGAGAACGCAAGAGCTGCACAAGACTCGTCAATACTCACGATCTCGCCGCAAGTAGGTTTCCACTCCTACGGAAAAATCGTCTGTTTCATTCTAGGGCTGATACTTAATGAAAACTTTCGCAACACTAACTATCTAGATCAGATACTAGGTGATCAATCAAGCATATATGCAATAAGAACAAGAATAAACAGAGAACAGGTCGAAATCCCAGATCTATAAACCTAGATGTCTTAATCGATTATGAGAGCCCATTTCGGGAACCCTAAGCCCAACTCGGGATCTACTCAGACGTGGCTGAGTTCGACATCATCATTGGTTTTAATAAAAGTAATGAAAAACAGTAAAGAAAAGAGATAAAGAAAGCTTCTCTATTGAAGAACTCGGACTTGAACAATCTTCTACAAAAATCTCATAAAAACGGCTAAAGGAAAAGGGTTTCTGTAAAGTATGTAAAAGCTCCCCTAAAAACGACCTAAATGACATGTATTTATAGTCTCGAATACTCCATGGTCTCTAGGGTTCCGGAATTGAGGCTGGGAATGACTTTGGGCTTCAGATAAGTGGGCTTTAAGTCGGAGGTTGAATGCCACGGTTGGGAGTGTTGTGACTGCGGCAATTGGCTTGTTGGCCGCGGTCGGGAAGCTTCTGACCGCGGCAAATAGCTTGTTGGCCGCGGTCGCGTGAGTTGCTGGCCGACTCTGCGTGGCTTCGGGGCTAATGGAATATCTTGAGATCCAACCGTTTGAATGTCTCCAAACCAAGTGCATTTGAAAGCTCGTTGATTCTTCTATAAGTTGTCCAATTTTGAGGGTGATCAGACGGTGAGAAGGTCTTCGTCTCTCCATGAGAGTTCTGACGGTCTGCATTTATCCAAAAGAGTCTTTTTGTTCCATTTTGTGCCTCTTTATCCCAAATTACCTGAAAAGTCTTTTAAAATCCGGAAACATAGAAATCCTTTGAAAACCTTTGAAAACAGAGTAAAAACACCTGTAAAAGATATTAAAATGATCCATAAAAATAGTCAAAATCCGGTGTTATCAACTCCCCTAGACTTAGTCTTTTGTTTGTCCTCAAACAAAACAAAGGCTAAATCTCGGCGAGAGGTTTGAAAACGCAGGAACTAAACAAAATTTCAGAGACCAAATTTCTAGACCAATATCAATCAGTATGCATCAATCGGGAATAGCCTAGAAAATTCTCACTAGCAATACAGGCATAACTAGTCTGTTAATCCGTCATGCAGAAATCTATGCACTAAGATCTAACTTCCAGTCAACTAGCTCTTAACATTCATTAAAAATCTCGGTGGTTCTCATCAAAGAAAATCTAGGCAAGGCAATCTAGGCTAGGTGTAAAGAAAGATTATTTTGGGGGTATGGCTTAAAGTGTTTAAGGGTTACCTGAAGATCTGGAGGATGCAGGACATTATGCAAAACCGCAAGAGAGAGTGAAGCTGTTGGTATCCACAGTTTTCAGTCACTTTTTCTCGACATAGATTCGTGGTTTTCTTCCTCAAGTTCTCTCCAAACTCCCCCAGGCTTAGATTTTTGTAAATCTTTCAAAACAATAGCTCCTTAAACGAATAGTGGTTTCTCATTGCTCCATAAATTTTGACAATCTAAGACTCATTAGGCTTTTTGTTTCCCTTTCTCTTTTCACGTTTTTTTTTTTTTTTTTTTTTAGAGAAAGAGAACACCTTTAGATATAGAGTCTTAGAGAGCACGAATTTACCAATTAATATCTGTCTTCTAAAGCTTTATTATGTTTCTGATACTCTTCCTTCCCAATTCCATTCAGTCTCTTTTGCGAGTGATAGAAAACTGCGTCGCTCCTCTTCTCTCCGACGTTTTTGCACATATCTGCTGATATAAACTAAAGAGAGAATGCATGAGGATTGAAAACAAAGGTTTTGGGTTTAGGGTATGGTACCAGATAAAGATAAACTGGTCATCTAGGACGACAAAGAGTGGTAAAAATGATGGTACAAGACGTCCTAGATGTGTATGTCGATGCCTGCCTATATCCTGTTACTAGTATATCCTGTTAGAAAGAATCTCCATGAATAGAAGTCCTCTGGTGGGAGTTCGTAGTGCAAGTACTCTAGCTACCGCCTAGTCTAGTGCTAACCACAAATGAGCTATCATGCATAGTGTAGAAGTGTGCAGGTCTAAATCATCATAGTTTTGCGTCAAACATTCCTGAAAAAATACTTAATGTCGAATAGGTTACATATTAAAATTTAAAAAGTACTTGAAATTTAAAAGCAAAGGCAGGAAAATAATTAGTACGGATAGACATCCTCCCCCAGACTTAAATCACATTGTCCCCAGTGTGAAAAAGTTGGTGAAAGGATGGTGAATAAAAGCAAAATAAGATAAAATAAGATAAAAGAAAAGAAAATGATGATAGAACCGTGATGGTAGTGAAGTGCTGATCAATCACTCATCCTCTGAAGTGTCGTCTGCGAACTGGTGCTGCTCCTGTAAGAAGGTGACAACGCGCTCAAAGCGTCGTCCCTGTCTCTCAACTCTGCGCTCTAGATCGGAATGAGTGTGTGATGATGTGGATGATGAGGCGTGGCCGGTCGGAATGGATGGCTGAAAATGAGTACGGGCTGCAGCTGCATCACGCCTCGCCTTGGCCACTATGTACTGGCCAATGGTGAATGGTAATCGAGGTACAGATGGCAGAAAATCATCGGATTCCAGAGTCCATCGAGGGCGTCCTCCGTTGCACAATCTCGGGATAGATGATGAAGGTAAGCGGACTCGGTGCTCCTCAGTGCCAGTGCAATACTTGTAACCAAACCTGTCTGGATCGAAAGTGGCACGAGAGATAGTGTGATCGCGAGAGAGATAAAGTAGATCATACCAGACATCGGGAAGTGGATCATCAGATGAGAAATCGAATCCTACAGCCTGTAGTATCGCTGTAATAGCACTCCCGAAGGCTGGAGTAGCGTCATCGCAACCATGTAAATCATGCTTCACCTTTACCATATTCTGCGATAAGATCCAGGCAAAGCACGCAAGTCGTGGATCATCCATAAACGGAATCTGAAGTGTAATGAGCTCAGTCTTCAAGACACCTCCCATGTTGGCTCTAGAGAAGATTGTGTGTGCTAAAAGTTTGTGCACAACTCTCACTGCTGGGTGGCTAAGAAGGGCTGACTTAGATCTCCCACTATCGTAAGCTCCATTACCCATCTCTCTTCATAGGTTAAGATCAGGTTCATCTTCAAGGTAGATGCCATCAGTGTACGGAAGCTTAAGAGCTTCACAAACCTCGGAAATTGTGAGAGAATAAGGCTGTCCGCGGATGGAGAATGACAAGATGCCATCTGATGCTCTGGGATTCCTCCTCTTCGTGTGGTGAAGTGTGACGGTCGCTAAAAGTTCACGGACTAGCTCAAGATAAGTCGGAAGGTTCAGCTCACAGTAGGGTCTCAGCTTAAGTGCATCGATGTACCAGATCACATCCTCTCTGATTCCAAGCATCTCGAGTGTATGATAATCAATGCAAGGCGTGGGTTTTAGGTTCAGCTTCTTGAAACGCCTTGCATAGTCCACTCTCGGGTTCGTCTCCCTCCCAATGTATCGAATCTGTTGAGGCTCAGGAGGTGCTCGTGTTTCTCTTGAGTGCTGGAGCAATCTCATCACATAGCTTCTTCTTCTCGGTCTGGCTTGGTTCAGCATGTACTCTCCTAGAGTAGCATCGTCGGGAATGTCATCGGAGCTGCCACCAGTTCGACGGCTCCTTCGGGATCTGGTTTCATCCATTTTCTGCAAAATGAAATGATTCTTGGAAAAAGAGTGAATTTGGGTACTAATTTTAACACATTAAGATCTGTTATACTAATACTAGTATAAAGAGATTAATTAAAATTATTAGCAAACAGAATTGATATTAAATCAGAGAAATCAAGTAGTTCATGACTAAATTCGGATTTTTGATGTTCTCAACATAGAAATCTTCTAAAAATCGGTTTTTAAGAGTAATTTCCATGTGAATTCTAAAGATTACCCAATACTAATCACAAATCACACAAGACTAAATCAAATTCATCAATTTTGCTGTACC